GCTCAAATGCATGTAAAGCATAATTTCTTCACATTCATTTGGCTCAGATGCTGTAAAAACTGTTTTGTGTCACAAATAGGTCAAAACTCCAGCAAACGATCAAACACCAATGTTTTCTTTTCTCCTTTATTTGTACTTGCATAAAACCAAAGACAGACAAATGTTGACATATTAAAAAATGAGAGCGAGTAGAGGGATTGCAAAATGTTGCTTTCAATTATTTTGTCAATCAGAACTGTTTATGGAGGAAGGTTCATGATGAAAATTATATTTTCACAATGTTTTGAACATACAAATTTATTTTACAGGACACCGAGACAAAAGATTAGACAAATTTGAAATTTGCAATTAAATAGAATAAAATAAAACTACAAAAATAAGATAGAAAAACAATGCAAGTATTTATATTTTAAACTCTTTATTATTAGGCCAACTGAACACTGTCTGAATAAAAGACTAAAATTATTCAGAACAACACAGGGGTTTTGTTTACATTCATGGGGAATCACAATTCTCAGGTCAGAAATTAGAGTGGGCACAATTAGGTTTGTAATAATTAAAAGTATAACTGCTCATTTAACATAGTGTCAAATAAAATAACTTATACTCAAATTAAAGAAAATTAGGCTGATGTTTCATCATTAAAGTGCAAATAAAACACTGAATATCAAGTTAGCAGACTTTACTCTGAAGTTTTGTTCTTATTGTTACTTAAAGACAAACTGAAGCTTCATTATTCTGGTGCTTTAGCAGCTAGAGATTGATTTGATTTCATAAAACTCAGTTCAGAAGTTTGACTTTTTAATACCCTTATTCAATAAAATACAGATAATTAGGGAAAGTACAAAACATGAATCTTTCTTACACAGCATGGCGCACATGAGTGCAAATAAAAATGTGTAAATAACTTCATGTTGTTCATGACTTATTTAAAGGTGTTTTTGACAGAGGAAGTTAAGCTGTAGCTCTGCTCAGAAGTCAGATTTAACTTCTGCATAATCGTTGAGAATCGTTTTTAAACATTTTTCAAACAGTCTGCTGAAAGAGGAAATACAAATGACTAAATACAGATGCTGCCTTTTAAGTGTGGTTTAGCATATTTCAGTGTAACCATTGCCTAGAACACAGATCTTTAAAATTATTCAGTTTAAAAACATTTAACTCTTGATTTGGAAGTTTTTATACATGTGCAGTAGATCTCCCTTGGTTAAAGTGAATTGTTAGGCTGCTTCTGCATGCAAGTGTCGCCTCTGTTTTTATTTTACTAGATTAGATATTAGAGCTTGAGTAATGGTTTCTGAGTCTATATTAAGACAGTGTTCAGGGTGGCTGGTGGGCTGTGTTGCAAGACTATTTAAAAATTTATTACACTGGCCTTTTATCATATTTCAACAAATAAACAGATACGTTCTGTCAAAAGAGTATTTCGAAATATTTTCTACACACTTTGCTTTTACCATTATTCATAAATATACATTAATTTAATATTACAGCATCGTTATGAAGTTAGACTATTAGGAGCTTTAATATTACATCACATATTTATAAAATGTGTTTGAAAAGCACAACCAGCTGGCATGACCTTCCATTCAGACCCAAACCTGTGAGCATGAAGCGTCCATTTCACAAGGTGCTCCCAAAGACCCCACAAATCAGACATTGCTGATCTTTTAGCACATTTTTGAATATACAAACAAACATGCAAACAGCACACACATTGTCTAAAAAAGATAAGACTTTGGCCACTCACACACACGTACAGTTTATTGTGCTTTATGTCTGTGTTTTCTAAATTAATCACGTAGCATGTGAGGAGAACATCAAGACCACGGTGGCCATATTGCAGGAACATTTGTCAAGATTTACTGGAAAATGGCTGAAATTTAAAGCTTCTTGTTGGTCAGAATTAGGTGTTTTGTCGCTTAAATTTCTAGAATTGTTTCAACTATTGTCAAAGTGGATGTTGACCTTGTTCAGTTCATAGTGAGAGGCTACAGCACATATTAAACACAACTACAGGATACGTGGAGAACAGTTGCCATAAGTTTCCATCTCTTGCCTTTGCCTGTTCTCTTCTTGGGATGTAATTAACCGAAACAAAGAGAGGATCAGGTTCACTTTCTGTTGATAAACAGAGACAATAAGGGGAAGAAAAACACGGTTACTCCTTGCCCTGACGCTTCGACTGGCAGCAGACGCAGTGACAGTTATCAGACAAATGCAGAACAAAATGTGAGACAAATGAGAAATGTACAATTGCACAGATAAAGCAACACTATAATGTAAAGTCAAAGTACATGAACCAAGGTTGGGTATTAAAATAGTTGTTGGTGTTGTCCTAGGTCTCGCTCTATATTTTTCCAAACAGTGCCGTAAGAACTGTACATTACACGTTACCTATCTGAAACAAAAACGTCTTCATGAGCATGGAGACATCCAGTGAGGAAGATGAAGTTAATACATAGTTTGTGGAGGAAGTGTGTATAAATCGGGGCTGCCACTGCATCTCGCATAGCCGAGGGATCAGGGAAGGATCGCGATTCATTTGGCTTTGATTTCTGTGTAGTTGCTGCCGTCATCCCCCCTCCCTGTGGCCCCCTCCCTGGGCCTGCGACCCATAAACTCCAGCGCAGCGTAGTTCAGCTCTTGCCTCTCCAGTCCTGCCATDGAGCCCACAGATTGATAATCCCCGTCTTCTCCCTGCAGATAGAGGAACCGTTCAGCACCCTCAAGTCACTGTCAAGATGGTGGTAAGAGCACAACAGACACCATAAAAAAGATGTTAGTGATTACTGTTTGACATAAACTGGAAGACTGAGATGTTTCCTGTTAGTTTGGCAGTTTCTGGTTAACAATGAGAAAGCCATGCAGAACAGAATAGAGGCTGATTTGCGAGGAGATGTATCGGTCACTGAGGCTGGTGTTTTTAATGGGGATTTGTTTGGGAACCTTACCGTAGTCTCCTCTAGAATGGAGTTAAACTTTGAGCCCAACAGCTCTGTCTTAAGCTGTGSCAGAGTTAGGGGAGAGAAAAAACAGACAGAAAAAATGCAGAGAAGCGATGAAAGCAAGAGAAAACAGTGATCTGAAAGGTCATTGTTGGAGTTATTAGGTTGCTAGTAGGAGAGTTTGCTTTATTACCTCATTTAAGAGGATGAAATGGGCTCTCATACTTCATTACACAAAACTTGAACCCAAAACATTCTGAGAATGGTCGTCCAACCCCTCAATGATCATTATCATAATTATTGACATCATCATGTCTCACCACTTTCTTCCTCAGATTTTGTTTGTCCTTCTTGACTGCGCTGTAGTACAAAGCTGGGTTCTCCAGGACCACGTCCTGCCTAGGGTTGCCATTCTCTCTGGGGGACGGAGTCACATAATCAGACTCGGTCTCGTCTGCCTCTAACGCAGGGCGACACACCAAGCCTGGGCATCCATTTTAAAACGRTCTCTGTGAGGTTATGCTGGAGGCCATTTTTGGCTGTGAGTGAAGTGGTTATTTTAATGGGTTTAGTCGCCGAGATCACTTCAGGGCTGATCAGGAGAAAGCTYGCAAATTTGGGGGTCCAATGAAGCACTGACGCTAAATTTAGACGCCTTGGTAAAAAAAGGGGGCTACTTGGGTTGTATTTAGCGTAGCAGGTCAAGGATACAGAAGCAGTGTCAGAGCAGGGATTCATGCCTGCAAAATATAAGGTTAGTCCAGCTTGCTAACCCACTCTATATGGCAGCCAATGTGAATTTCCAAAGATTCCATATGAGTTTTGATGTAACAAACCAACTGAAAATGCTTTTCTCACGTCCACATTAATGCCACATTCACTCAAATACTGTGTGCACACATGGGTTTTAGAATGGATGGCTAGGCTCAAGTGTTTGCTTGGATTTCAGTCAATTATTTTGCTTAGTGAGCAAAATTACTAGTGCTGCCTCACATTGGCCTCTCCATTAGTTTATCGTTCATACTCACTTTTTGTTATTCTGGCCCACATATCTCACTGCTGCGATGATGAAGGCAATGACGGCTACTCCTCCAATGGTGCCAACTATAACTGCCATCATGTACTTTTCTGAAAAGAGGGGAAAAATGAACAAATATTCAAAATGGTAAGATTTGTTTTGGTGTTTTGGAAAATGGATCAAAATAGGCATCATTCTTGTAAATATCTGTTACTGTTTGTAAAAGTTCATCTATTAGACATGAATTTGGTTAAAAATCATTCAAAAGAAGCTAAAYGCAGTCTGATTTGGCTCAGGCTTGTTGATTTCTCTACCTTGTTTGTGGAACACTTCYTCCAGTCTGAAACGTTTAACATTATCTTAAATACTTGATCATTTAATGTCAATCATGGTGCACTCTATTTATGCTCACATGTCAGAACTACCAGGTTCCATCTTAAGAAAATGATCTGGAACAACCCTAAAGTCAAACTCACGAGTCAGATGTCCTCGACCAAACCCAACCTCAAAATTCAATATGGCTGCTTCATGCTGCGATAGCTACAATAATATACTAGGTCACACATCAAGCTTTACAACCTCTAATATGAAACATGTTGCTATACAGTTTGAATGCAGGGATATACATTATTGGATTGGATTGCTAATAATAGTTAGCCTGTATAGGGAAGTTGCTAAAAAAAGTTGCAGCTGGAACACAGTAGCATCATTCCCAGGTCTGATTTCTGAGGTGTACAAAAAGCACAACTTTCTAGAACAAGCACAGGGTTTTTAACCAGTTACTGAAACAGGAAGTGATTGTGCTTCTGTTGGAGTCTATTTTTTGCTGTGGATCAATGTAACTGTAATTTCCTGGAGCAGGGCAGYGATAAGGAACTAATTACAGATCTTGAGTTTATTGCAATTAAGGACCAACCGATGTAGAGTATTTAATTGCTTTAAGTCATCAATACAGTTCAATAGTGCRGAGTAGTAATCTGTACTAAACACTAAGTGCCATCAGACCTTTTCTGTACTGGTTCCTTCAGTTTCTTATTGGTTCAAAAGGTGCTTTTTAAGGTTTGTGTCATTCTTTGGTCACAGTAAGGACAAATGAAGTAACACACTTCAAAGTGTTTATTTAAAGACCCTTACAGAGCAGCTGGATTTATAATCCTTTGTTAAATACAGCAAACCAAGCCCACATTATCCAACAAATACCTAATGAGCTTTTTTATTTTTATTTTTAAGTTCTCATCTTTCCCTCATTTGTTGTTTGACCACAGATATACACCACATGAAACCCACATACATGTAAGCTTCATAAACCCTGAGTGGCACTATCTATTCCTTTAATATAAGTTTTTACAMATTGATGCAAACAACTGGTTTATTCTAGGAATGCTTCATTGGTGTTTACAACTCATTGTTGGTGAGGCAGGTTCCAGTATTGTAATCTACAAAGCACATGTTTGTTTTTGAAATTTTTGCATCAGAGATGCTAAAGCTCATTTTGACTTCCCACTTTCATGGTAAGATGAGGTCAGAAAGCTGTGCAGCTGATGAGCTCCACCTACCGTATGAAACAAGTTTAGGCTGCAAATTCTAAATGACTAACTTACTTTTAGACCTACAGTAGTTGTCCCCAAACAAAAAAGGTAGTGTCCAGACAAACTTGTTGGAATCTACTTCAGAAACCCAGATAGATGTACTGTAATTTGTCACATATTTTTACAACACCCCAATGGAGATAAAACACAGAAAACCAAAAGTAAACTTAAACATTCACAAATAACACATCAGGAGCAGTTTTGTACTCACTTTCCTGCTGTAGCTCCAAAAGTACGCTCTCTCTGCCGTAGATGTTGTGCATGCTGCAGTGCACATTTACAGCTGGTCCGCCGTTGTCAGCCCKCTCCCCTTTCTCCCGCAGCTTGATCATCGCAGTGGACGTGTGTCCATCTGTGTGTGTGTAGAAGTTGTACCGGCCGTCTGTTTCATTGACTGTGACGTTCAGGTCCGGCAGGTAAAACTCGATAGTTGGTTCGGGGTTTCCCGTGGCTATGCAGACACACTGGACTCCCTCCCTCACCACTGTGCACTTTGATTCYTCCAAAAGGACCGGGGCATCTAGAGGAAAAASAAAGWATGAATCWAATTCTGGAAGTGGTCATTCAACTAGATCTGTTACAAAAGGACAACTGACATTACCAACTTTTAAAAACTGTTACGGCCAGAGGTCTTTCTTCTATGTTTATACTAAAGCATGGAATGACATTCCTCAAAAAATAAAGTCCATTTCAAAACTACAGCCCTTTAAGAAGAATCTTGTCTGCCATCTGCTGGACACTTTTTGTTGTGCTCATATTTAGACGTCCTATTTTGCAAATGCTGCCTTCCTGAAATTTGGTATGCTTGTTTGTCTTTGTGTCTATGGTGTATAATGATGTGATTGTGATGCTGTATTTCTCGAGTGTTTTATGTGCTGCAGAACAGTAACCTGTTGCAAAACAGCAGTTATGTTGAGTCAGGCTTGATTTTTAGTAATCTTTTCCTGTTAAATCAATAAATCAAATCAAATCAAATCAAATCAAAGTACAAAGTGACCTTCAGATCACTGCAGCATATATTTGTTGTTTGTATACACATACTGTTTAGGCTTTATCATTAGGTATAAGGAAAGACAGTGGAACACTCACACTCAACAGTGATGTTGAGGGAGGTRCTGGCTCGTCCATGCTCATTCTCAGCCAGGCAGCGATAATGTCCATCCTCCTGYGGTGTGACTTCCACAATCTCCAGCACCGACAGCTCGCCAGCAGTGATGGTGCCCACCAGCTCCCCATCCTTCAGCCAAGTGAGGGTCGGAGCTGGGCTTCCCTGGGTGCTGCAGTGCAAAGCCAGTGAAGCGCCCTCAACYACCGTCAGAGATTCGTTTACCACCGGTTCTCGGGGAGGGTCTGCAACAAAATRAAAAGTTTTAGCTTGTTTTGTAACTTTAAACAGTCTCTTAATATTCTCTGACAATGTTAAATCAAATCAACATTTGTTTAATTAAACCTGCTTGACTACTTGGAGCATCACAAACAAACACTGATGACAAGCCATCATCACTTAATCAGACAACRTGCCAAGAAAACTGAATTTAGTTTGTTTTTTAAATGCTCCAAATGTAAGAAAATACTCCAATTTTTAGTTTTKTTTCTACAACACATCGAAGGTGTTGCATATATATCTTAAATATTTCAGCAAAAATAAAAATAACTAGTATAATTGTGTCAGCTTTTTAATTGAATTTTAAGACAAATTACTAGAATTAAGCATTAGTGTCTGGAAGAGGACAAGCAAGTCCTCATAAAAAGACATGTTTAATAAGAATGTCACATTTTTAACTTTGGTTCAGTATGTGTTAGTGACCAAAACATTTGTGTGCAAAACATATGGCAAAAGTAACATATTTCTACCTAGTATGATACCTTCGATACAACTTGCTGATTTAAAAGAGAATACTTTAAATTCTTTAAATAACTAAACAAACTGCCAAAAATAGTTAACCGAAATCTGTTAAACCTTGTATAATCTTTTAGTGATTGTGTGAAGAAACTGGTACTGCAAACCATTTACAACTACACTAGGTGGCTCTTTAATTTCCTTTTTATTCTGCATACAGTAAGTAAAGGCCCTTAACTTATACCAACTTGTGAAAAGTTTGTCCAATACGATGTCTAAGCTGAAGATGGAATAAAAAAAATCTACTGGAGCCCTCTTTTATACCTATACGTCTGTAATGCTAACAACTGATTAAATATGTAGCTGAGATGAGTAAAATAGTCATAACAAAATTTTCACAAGTTGGGATAAGTTGTCTAAAATGTTATAGTGTGTGACAGAGCCTTAAACTGAAATATTTATATTTTGTTATTCTATAAATTATAAATAGAATTTAAATGGAATAATTTGTTTTAAATAATCAATAGATCTTTATAATTAAATGTAATATGATACAACCCTAGAAATGCTCTCATGGCATTTCTAAATTCTAAATTTAAACAAGTAAACAAAACTGTATGTAAAGTGCTGTGATACTGACATACTGGTAAGTTRTATTTTAAGCTTTCAGTACATCTAGTTACACACTTTGGTTGCTGAGATAAAAGGAGTTTGCCTAGCAATATACAGTATATTTTAAGAGGATTTAAATCATGCATATGTTAAATAATTGCCTTCATACATTAGAGRTGGACAGAAAAAACGCTAAACATAAAGGAGCACTGTGTTTCATAGACATATGCTGACCTAAATMTTTTACTGTTCTTGTATTGCCTCCTTGTGGTTCTATCTGTAAAGTGATTCAAAACAAATAACTTTGAATATTTTGAGCAGAAAATGGTTTGTTAGAAGCCAAACTACATATTTCTTAAAGACACTTCAGAACTGAGCCTTTGATATTTTTCCATAATTTTTTAATTTTATTTTTATTTTTATTTTTATTTTTATTTTTTTGTATTCTGGGACTCATTTACCATCTGTTCGACTTACACTTGACAGCGAGGTACATCGAGGTGTTCATAACCCCATAGCCATTGTCTCCAACACAAGTRTAAACCCCTTCATTTACAGGCGTGACGTCATCCAGGGAGAGGGAGAGGTTGGAGGCTGTGTCCCACAGCAGCTCGTTGTCCTCGAACATCCAGGAGATCCTGGGAGGAGGGTTGCTGTCCACCTCACAGTGCAGCGTCACAGAGCTGCTCTCCATCACCTCTGAGGATACGTTCACCCACACGGATCGTGGAGAGTCTGCAACGTCAAATGAATACGTTTATATTTTCAAGAACTCAAAGGTTCTGTGGCACCAAATTGTCATTCTAAAGAAAGAATAACAGATCTTAGCATAAAGCTTTTTTGGGTTTTTATGCATATTCTGTGCATCATTTTGTTTCTAAAAGAAGCTTAAAAATAAAATTATAATATGATCTGAAGAATTTTGTTTTCATTTTTACTTACACTTGACATCCAGTGAGATGAGCCTTTCATAGACCAGTGTGGTGTTGGGGTAGTAGACCCTACAACCCAGCAGCTGTCCGTTGTGCATAGGTCTGGGCGTGAAGACGAGGGTGTTGGAAAGCACTGCCGTGTTGCTCTCCTCCAGGTATTCAGTACTGAATGCCGGGTCGGGCAGGTAATCGGTGTACATCCACTGAATCTCTGGAGTCATGTCAGGGCAGTTATCAGGAACGTAGCATGTCAGCTCCAGGCTCTCATCACTGACAATCTCCTCGGGTACATCGATGCTGGGCTGATCTAAATAACAAAACACAATTAGCCTTTTTGTAGTGAAAACTGAAAGCAAATCCAATATTCCAGTAAATGGTCTTTTGCTGTTGGCTCACCCAAAACTTTGAGCTCAGCAAAGTCTGGGTATGAATATTTGTTGGCTCCACCAATGTCTGCCCGGAAGTAGTACCTCCCCGAGTGTTCTGCACCGATGTTGCCAATGAGCAGAGTGCAATTCCTCTGGTTGAGGTCGCCCAGCAGCTTGGTGCGACCCTTGTAGCTCTCGTGAACAACCTCTGTGAGGGATTTGAAGACTACAGGAGGGAAGAGTTGTGGGTAGGGCTGGCCAAAATACCAGATCCCATGAACGCCCCGGATGGGCCTGATTCCAGATGGATACATGAAGCTGCAGGGGATGACTACACAGGAGTTTGTCATGGCTGAGATATCCCGAGGTAACCAAATACTCCACTGGCAACTGGCATCTAAAAGAGGAGACAGATGATGAGTTAATTTTGATGGCTATCATTTTCAAATTCATCTTGACTATTTTATCATCAATTAGAAGGGACATGCCGCATTACCATGGATGATCAACAGCAGAGGTAAGAGCAGCTCCAAACACCACATGGTCTCTGCTTAATGCTGGACCATAGACTTCTGGAAAAGACAACATCCTCAGTCAGTAACAGCTTGGCCTGGAGGGTTTTAGTACAACAACAAGCACACACCTCCGCTATAATTCCCAAAACCAGGACACTGTTTTTGTTCTGGATCACGTGTAAGACCTCATTTTGTAATAACAACGCATTATGTAATAATGTAATAAAATCAGGCTTCAAAATGTAATAAACTCGCGCTAAAACCGCATCATGCAATAATTGACACAAAATGTAATAAAAGTCTTTAACACATTATGTAATAATGTTATTACAATTTGCGGCAATTATTACAAAATGTCGTAGTGTAATAATCTGGTGCATTATGTAATAAACAATCAAAAACCAGAATTTCTGTTCATCCTAATCAATATACTTGTAATAACTGTCATGTTGCAAATACTGCATGATTAAATCTTTATAACTTTGGTCAATAAACAATGAACTTCTCATCTTTTATTTGCATTTTCAGAAAAAAAGTACTAATCACTCGCAAGGGGAGGGTGCAGATGGACCATCAGCTGCGGAGGGGAGCAGGGCTGGGTGCAGGCGGACTGTCACCTTCTGTATCAGAAGGAAATGAGGGTTGGAGAACTTGTTTCTAGCAGTAGAGTGGGTTGGAAGTGGATATTTGATATTAATAATTGTTTTTAACGTCCTACAGGTTCTGACATGTTGAATAAATTAGAAACTAAATTTTTGAAAGATTCCATAAAACATGTAAAAAATCTGTGAGATTGCTCTTTACATCCATGTACACAAGAATTTGACTGAAAATGCAAATTAAAAATGAGAAGTTCAGTGTTTATTGACCAAAGTTATAAAGATTTAATTATGTAGTATTTGCAACATGACAGTTATTACAAGTATGCACCAGATTATTACACCACCACATTTTGTAACAATTGCCACAAAATGTAATAACACTATTACATAATGATTTAAAGACCTTTATTACATTTTGTGTCAGTTATTACATAAAGCGGTTTTAGCGCGAGTTTATTACATTTTGAAGCCTGATTTTATTACATTATGACATAATGTGCTGTTATTACAAAATGAGGTCTTACACACATGTCTCGCTCAAGCAACAGTTTATTGTCAAATTATAGTTGAAGTGTGTGACTTTAGTTTTTTTTTTACCTTGAAATGCTGAAGGTTCAGACAGAATCTCTGCAGGACAGTTTGTCGACAGCTCCACTAGAGGGTGTTGACTCACACCCCGACAGCTCGACAGCCTTCTTCTCTACAAGAAACAAAAAAGCACGTCTTACTTTAATAAGATCAGGCGATTACATCACTTGGTCTCTCACAGAACTGTTGTAAAACACACACGCGTGGCGTCAGAGAGCACCTGTT